AGACACCCCCAGGTCATACACTAGCAGATTGCTGATGGGGGCGGAGTTTGTGATGACCAGGTCCAGCGTATGGCCCTTGGCGTGTGTGGGGACATCAACATGCTGTGTGAGATTGAGACAGTCCAGGAGCAGCAGAAACTCCGTGGCAAAATGGCAGGAGGGGGAGTCGACGTGAATATTCAAATCTCCAAGTATGATAATATTGGCAGAGGATGTGCATAGCGTAGTGAGAAGGTCTTGTGTCTCTGGAATGAAAGCAGAATTGGGTTTGGGTGGCCGGTAGATCAGAAGTATTGTCAGAGCGAAGGGGGGTTTACATTTAAATGCAAGGCATTCAAAAGACGACAATACAGGCAGGGGCAGGAGTGACAGTTCCAATTCCTTTCGGTAGATAACAGCTAGGCCTCCACCACGACCAGTGTTGCGGGCTTTCTCCAAGTAGCTGTAGCCAGGAGGGCAGGCTTCATTGAGTGTGGAGTAAACCTCTGGCTGATGCCAGGTTTCCGTGAGGCACATGAAGTCCAATTTCTCATCAGTGATGTGGTCTTGAATGAAGGATGCTTTATTGCTGAGAGATTGTGTATTCAAAAGTTCTATTTTGGCTTTAGAAGATGTGGTGAATCTTCTTGATGTTCAGGTGACTAAAGTGGTGCAGTCAGTCTTAAATGATGGTATTATTTTGTGTTTTAACATGTTTTATATCTTGGATTTTGTAATGTATTGTTTAATTGGAGAAGACCACTTTATTCATTATCAGTCAGTCACATCTCATCTGTACTTCCAGTGAAGCACCAGCAGGTGTCAGTGTCTCTTTGTGGGCACGTGGACAAGGTGCATGCGTGGTGTCAGATGTGATGGATTCAGAATAACATGGAGTATGATGAAACATTTTAATTTAGAGTTTAGCTTCATATTTTTAGGACAGCATAAAAGCAGGTCAATGGGTCCTCGTCACTGTCACCGGGGCCTCTCGGGGGGGTGGGGTTTAACCCTCAGTCAGCAGCAGCAGCAACCTTGTGTTTCCTGTCCTTCAAACACCGTCAGTGCAGAGGGGAGGAACATCTGATAGTTACCCGATTATCACAGATTATCACCGGACAGAGCAGCAGCGGCGGACCGGTGAGTGAACACGGTAAACACCGACACTTTGTGCACACATTTAGCGTCGATTCTGAGTCCTGCAAGCAATCCTACTGCACAAAGACTGAAGGGTCTGCAGACACAGCATGCTCAGCTGCAGACAGCCTTCAAAACTCAATTATATTGCATTATCCTGTATTACTGTCTCTAATGTCTCTCTAAAGATAACAGTCCAAACCGAGTTTATGGCTGTTTTATCTCACTTTATGGGGCCCAGTTTCATTGATATTCCTGCAGGGATCCTCTCTGTTTGGCTGTGACTGAATACTCCTTTAAAATTACATAATCTGCATTTGTAAAAGAAAATGCACTATATATATGTAATAGCATGGTTAAACTCACAAGTCAGACATGGTTTGTTAAAGGTCATGCAGAAAACTTGTAATTGTCACAAACGAGCTAAAAGTACAAGACATACTAGTACATTTACTCAAGTACTGTATGTGTACTTTACTTCAGTAGTTCTGTATTCTGCTACTTTAAAGGCTACTTGTCCCTCCTTCATATTAGTACAAAATGCTATCAACCAATTTAATATAGTTTATTATTATAATGTAATTACCTAGTAGTATACATTAATAAATGCAGCTCTACTTAGACAAGCTGCAATATTTTATTGATGAATATCATGCATTAATATTTAATATATTTATTAATATATATTTTCTTAAAGTATATTTTGATGCTTAAACTTTTGCACTTTTACATTTTTTACTTTTTTTTGCTGTGGTTTTACTGCTTTTAGTCAAATATCACATCTGTTGAGAGTAAGATAAGCATGAAGTGTGAAGTTAAGATGCACAGGAGTGTGTGAAACGTTTTGATGAGTGAGGAATGTCTGTAGTCAGCAAAATGTTAAACCAAACCTGGAGATCAGAGAGAGAGAGGGGGTCCGAGTTATATAAGCGTGGTGGGGGTTGATAAGAAATGTGAGTGTGCAATAAGTGTGTATTTAGTGAATGAGCATGTGTGTGTTATCAGCGCAGTGATACAGAGGATATAACTCACCTCACTCTCCTCCTGTGACTGCAGATTATCTCTCTCAGCAGCTCTTCTTCTCTCTTCACCATGGCTGAGACTCAGGGGAAATTCGACTTCGCCATCGACCGGGGGGGCACCTTCACCGATGTGTTTGCCCGTCTGCCCGATGGGAGCGAGAGAGTCCTGAAGCTGCTGTCCCGGGACCCCCAGAACTACAAAGACGCCCCAACAGAGGGGATCCGCAGGGTCCTGGAGGAGGTAACGAGACAGGACATTTACTAGTTAATATTCCATTTATACAAAGAGTTTTGGAGACTTACCGAACACTCAAAGCTCAATTTAGCTGTCTTAACTTGTAGCTCCCTTAAATGTTCCTTTT